CATTCCACCATCTTGAATAAGTGGCATCCCCTATCAAGTACAAGTGACACGCTCTTCTATGGAAGTTAGAGTTTTCGACCTCCTTTCTCACTTTCCCATTTTCCTTCTTACTTCAGAGGCTTTTCATTATTTTTTATATGTTGCATATCCTATCCAAATTCAGTGACCTCTTTAGTGCAGAAGGAATATTATCCTCCTTTCATTTTCTTCTCCTCTAATTTTCTTCTTACATTAGAGGCATTCCATTGTCTGAAATAGGTGTCATCCCCTATCAAATTTTAGTACATCTCTTTTGTATAGAAGAAGTCACGACGAGAGTTTATTTTTTCAATAAATAACCCTTGTCAAAAGATAATCAATTACCTCTTACATGCGATGGTGATTTGAGAAGATCTGTCAGTAATAATGTTGGGGAGGAGAATCGATGATTCTTAATATACGTGCAAATTTTTTATGATATTATTTGAGCAGAAGTCGGACGACGATTGACGATCAAGTGAAAGAACTTAAAGAGATAGTTGGAGGATGTGCTATTAATAATAATTGAGTGAGAAGCCAATTATGGATGATATGAAATTAAGGATTAATGACGGACATCGGGCGAAATGTCGATGATGGCGGTGGTCAAGTTGCATTTTGCTAAAGGCAATATGCGTCCATATTGATGTGTACAGACATCCCTGATGCAGAGGGTTAAAGAAGTGTGCCTTGTCAGTAGCCTAGCAACACACTAACATTGTCAATTGAAAGAAGGTCTGATGATGATCAGATTATAACCTTTCTTAAGAGATGCTTCAATGTGCAGTAGAGAAGATATCAATAGAATCCAACAAGGATATCTAACCTTTTTGAAGTTATTTATTACTTGATGACATTAATTTGTATGGATGATATGATATAATTTTAATTTTAGCTTCTTGTGAAAATGAAAAGACACTCAAACCTGATATGGAATCTATATAACTTCAATGATATTATATTTGAAGTTGAGATTATTGTATGAGCTCTATTCTTATTTTTCATTTGAAATGAATTTGTCCTTCAAAGAAAACTAAGTCGTTTATACATTTTTGAAATATGCTTTGATAGACATCCCTGTTAGAGGGGGTCAAAGAAGTGTGCCCTGCCAGTAGCCTAGCGACACACTAACAGTGTCAATTGAATGAAGGCCTGATGATTATCAGATTATAACCTTTCTTAAGAGATGCTTCAATGTGCAGTAAATAAGAGATCAATAGAATCCAACAAGGATATCTAACATTTTTGAAGTTATTTATTGCTTGATTACGTTAACTTGTATGGATGATACAATGTAATTTTAATTTTAGCTTCTTGTGAAAATGAAAAGACATTCGAACCTGATATGGAATCTATATAACTTCAATGATATTATATTTGAAGTTGATATTATTGTATGAGCTTGATTTTTTATTTTTCATTTGAAATGAATTTGTCCTTTAAAGAAAACTAAGTCGTTTATGCATTTTCACCCCCCCCCAAAAAAAAAACCTTTTGAAGCTATTTAGCCTGCTAAGGTATTTGTATAACAGTACCTTTTGAGGCTTTTTAGCTTTCTAAGATTTTTGAATAAGTGATGACCCTTTCAATCATTATTCTCATGGAGTCATTTTAGTGAGGATCATGTCCATTACTAGCTTTCTTTTAAGACTACTTCAAAGGTGAGCCTTTTTTGGGATTATTTGTCAGAGTATTACTCGATGACGTTGAGAGAAATTCATAAGATATTTGACCTATCTGAGGTTATTTATTAGAGCATTTCTCTTCTTTGTTCTATTCCTTACTTGGGTCCCTCTTTCCCTCCTCTTTCCCTTCTCCCTAAAAGAAGAATAAAAAGTCTATTTATAATTTTCTGAGGGTCACATGACTAGTAAATAAGGAGGAGATCAAGGGTAAGTTGTGAGTGATTTGAATGGACGGTCGATATTGATCCCCTTGATCGTAGTCCATTTAGTGGGCATTTAAATGTCCTAATGATATCAGAATTTAATGATCTTGGACTTCTTGGATTCTTCTCGTCAAGCCGCTCGATTCGACTACAAGCATGTCAAGTTGAAAAATCGTTTGATCATATAATTTATGGTTTGAACTTTTCAAATGCTCTTCGAGTCTTTGATTACCCATTTGGGCTTGTATTGAGACGAATTTGGTTTCGTTAGGTTAGTCTTTTCGAGACATTCAATTCGGCTATAAGTTTGCTGAAATTGAAGCTTATATTGTTCCAAATTTAATTTTGAAAGTTTCCAACTTAATTTTGCTTTAAGATTTGTGCCCGATCAAGATAAATTTTTTACGGTATATCAACGATCAATGCATTTTTTATTGTAAGTTGAAAGAGTTTTTACAATTATTAATTGATTATCATTAAAAATCATAAATTAGAAGTATAGAGTAGTGTATGAATATATTTTAATAATTTATATTGAGAAAAAAATATTTAATGGTATTGCTAATAAATAACTATTTAATTTTTTTTAGAATAGGTTTAGTATGCGTTATAGATTAAAGTTTTTATTATATTATATTTTATCTTTCTAAATAATAATTTTTAAACATGAATGGAAAAAATTAAAAAAATGTTCGAAAAAATCTAACTTGTTCTTCCACTATAAAAAAAAATTTGACACGATCACAGTTTTATTTATTTTTTTTTACTTTTGAGTCAATTAAAACAAATTCGTACATATATTACATATACAAGCTTCAAAATCCACCAACTAACAAATCAAAATCAGTTTCATATGCTTTGTACTTTTGATTTGCTGCCAATCATTTCAATATGTGGGATTCTTTTTTTTTTTCACTTTATTTGGCTATTTTGGGTTAATTTTTGCTTCTCGGTTATAAAAAAATGTTCGAAAAAATCTAACTTGTTCTTCCACTATAAAAAAATTCTGACTCGATCACAGTTTTATCTATTTTTTTTTTATTTTTGAGTCAATTAAAATAAACTCGCACATATATTACATATACAAGCTTCAAAATCCACCAACTAACAAATCAAAATCAGTTTCATATGCTTTGTACTTTTGATTTGCTGCCAATCATTTCAATATGTGGGATTCTTTTTTTTTCACTTTATTTGGCTATTTTGGGTTAATTTTTGCTTCTCGGTTACTGATTTTTGTAATGTTTTTGGATTTCTCTCATGGTGTTATTGTAGGCTTCATTGGGGATGAACGGAGTTTTAGTACAAAATTAAAAATTTTGTACTAAAACTTCGTTTTAAAAAACAGTAAAAAAATCGTCCCAAATGAAGTCTTAATGTTGCTATTCAATGTTCTGCTTTGATATATTAGACATTTTTTTTTTTAATGAATTTGCAGTTTACGCTTTTCATTTCATTGGTAGTGTTTCCCCCGCGAACTTCTGCTACCTTATTTTGTCTCTTTTGAGCTGATGTTGTGCTATATTTGTTGCAAGGGATTCCTTTCCATTGCTTGGGGGTTTACAGCTTGTTGATTTCTTGCTGCTAGTGGGATTTGTTTCTAGAACTAGAAGATGGTTTCTGCAACTTAGGTTTCGTTTGGACGGCTTTTTTATTGCTTCTAAAAATAATTTTTTTGAATAAAATTTTTAATTTTTATTTTAAAAAGTAATTTTAAGAAGCAGTAAAAAATCGAGTCAAACGAAACCTTAATCTGATTATTTTAGTAACATTGACAATTAATAATGAACATTATAGAGGCTCCTCTTCCAAAGGAACTCTTCTACTGCCTAGAATACTTGTTAATAAATTAGGATTCTCACCGAAAGAACTCACCAACTGTCCGTGCAATCAATTCGAGATTAAGATTTCGTTTGGGACGGCTTTGTTCTTGCTTTCTAAAACAGCTTTCTAGTACAAAAATTTTTATACTAGAAAACCGTTTTAAAAAACAGCACAAAAGTTGTCCCAAACGAAACCGAAGTAATGATCCATCAACAACAAAATATGAACTTAATTTCTACATGTCCTCTCTAAAAATACACTTCTAGAAGACATTCTCAAGATCTATGATCTTGAAATTGTTGTTACTATTTAAATAACTATTAATTAGCTTTTTTTTAATTCATCTTCTCCTTAAAAAAAACTTATCAATAAGAAATTCATCAAAATTTAATCCAATTACCATGGCAAATTTAGAGATACAAAAATATTGCATTCTTACATTTATTATTGAACACAATGGAATAACTTTCCTCAGCATAATGAACTCTTTTTATGATAATCTGATGTATCAAAACCCTGTAGAATTGTTGGTTGGGAGAATTAAAAATTGCTTGAAGATAAAGTTCTTAATTCCTCTCAAATAAATAAAAGATTTCAATATTTTTTGCCTTCTTCATTACACCATTATGTGTGTAATCTGGACAATGTAATGAAAAAAAAAATATAATTTTATGCAAGATAAAATGGTTCAAACCACAAATTCTGAGGCATTACAAGATTCTTTCCTCTAGCTTGATCTCATTTGAATCCAATTTTAAACATTTATTTTGAAGATAATGTTTAAATTCTAGGTTTGAAACAAATGTTTGAATTAGATTCAAAGTTTAATTGAACATATGATATAAGATTTGAATCTTATCAAAAACTCAATTTCAAATATATATTTTGAAGTTAATGTTTGAACTTCGAACTCGATTGGGAGTAATAATATGGGATTTGAATAGTGTTTAAAACTGAATAATAGTTCAAACTAAATTCAAACAAAAGGCAATTAAGGCTTTTAATTTTTTACTAAAAAGCCACTTTAAAAAGCAATAAAAAAGCCGTCTGAATTAGAAAATTTGTTTATCAAATAGAAAGCTATTTATTCAAAGTAAACATTTGATATTTACGCTTCATTTGAAACGGCTTTCTTATTGTTTTTTAAAAGCAACTTTCTAACACAAAATTTAAAATTTTTGTACTATGAAGTTGTTTTAAAAAGCAGTAAGAAAACTGTCTCCAACAAAACCTTAATCACAAGTTGTTTAAATATAAATACAAAACAACATCAAGAACTTAGCAAAATTTTAATTAGTCCATAATTCCATTTACATCAAATATCTATCTTCATAAACTTTGTATCAGCATATCCTTAACACTTACTTCAAAGATGCCTCCAGTATACATTCACAATGATTACTTCATCGCAATAAAAGAGTTTGATTTAGCTCTTTTCATTATTATATCTTCAATTTACCAGCAAACTATTGATGGAAACCGCCATTGGACACTCCATTATTGCTCTCTTCAGGATTCTGATTTAGGACTCGCCAACTAAAGAACATGTAATGTACCGAAGCCAACCTGAAAGTATATGGAAAGAACAGTGAGACACCAGAAAATAGCTCAATTAATAGAAATATTGAATACCAATTTTTAACTATAGTAGTAATATAGAATAGTACACACCATTACTTAGTATTTTATCAACCCCAAGCTTTTGAGCCAAGGAAGCACCTCTGCCAAGCCTTCATTCAAGCTTCTTGGACGATAATCCAACTGATCTCTAGCCTTCTCGCATGAATATGCCCATTGATGTTTCATAACTCTCACAGTCTGGTGTTTAGTACCATCACAAATGAAAAAAAAGTGAAATATGGATCATTGAGAAAGTAAAGTTTCGTTTGGAACGGCTTCGTTGGTGCTTTTGAAAGCAGTTTTTTAATATAAAAATTTTGAAAAATTTTTGTACTAAAAAGCTGTTTTAGAAAGCACAAAAAAAGGTTGTTCTAAACGAAGCCTAAGACTTCAAATGAATTATAGTGGAATAGATGATACAGAGAACAAAACATACTGGATAACTGATAAGAGGGAGTTTGCCAGTCATCCTAGCAAAGAAAACTGATATCCAACCATAAAGTTCTATCAGCCACATAGGAATGTGAAGCCTCGGCTTGCTTGTTTTCGTGATGGCTGCAGCAATATCAAGAACTTGTATAAATGATGCATTTTCCCCTGTGAGCAGATACCTCTCGCCAACTTGGCCTTTATACATTGCAGCTATATGTCCGTAGACCAAATCTTCTACATGAACAAATGACAACATATCATTTCCATGGCCTATGTAACCGGGTAAACGTCCACTGAAACGTTCGATTAGCTGAAGGAACAGAATTCAAATCAGTTGGATAAAATGGTACAAAGTTCATTCCTTCATATCATACTCTGAAGAAAGCATTGAAACCAAATAAACATCTTGCAAATTACTGGTTTCAGAAAACAAGATAATAGGAGAATATTGGATGGTTTACATGCTGGATTTAGGCTTCATTTGGGACGGCTTTCTTCTTGCTTTCTAAAACTATTTTCTAGTACAAAAATTTCTTGGATTTGAAATTTTTGTACTAGAAAGCCGTTTTAAAAAGCAGTACAAAAGCTGTCCCAAACGAAGTCTTGGTCTAGGAATAGCTTTTCTAAGGTATCTAGAGACCTCTATTTCTTTAAAACTATGCATCAAGTAAATCAACATGCATCCACTATAGTTTCAAATTTGTGACGCAGGTCCCCTTAAAAAACTGAGAGATCTATCTTATATTGATGAAGGATTGAATATATGCCTCTTCATTATCAAGTTAACAAAAAGCATCTCTTAGCAATATGATACGGGTGGATGACAAATGCACTATATAATGGGAATTCAAAGCAAAAGAGCCGATAAAAATTAAAGTTCACATTGTTTTCTAGAGAAGCTAAGTATAGTTCTTCAAAACAAATGGACAGTCAATAATGAGGGCGAATGTTCACCAAACTCTTATGGTAAGTGCTAAATCTAAGCCATCCCTTATCAGATTGATCCCACAGCTAGGATGAGGATTTGTGGGAGGATCACCTGGATCACGCCAATCTCTTTCTATAGTTAGGAGGCTAATTTAGGGAGGATTATATTAACACAATAATATGTGATTCTGTAATTTATTTGTTTCTTTATTAGATATTCTGCATAGATCTATAAATAGGGATAAATTTGTGTAATAAAACTAAGCCTTTTTTCCTCTCCAAATCTCATAATTTAACATGGTATCAAAACCACGATCAGCCTTCATTGTCGTTACCGTTGCCAGATCTTCATGAGGGTATATACAAAGAAGAGTAAGCTACCATCATTGTCGTTGAAGATTGATCGTCGAGAAGTATGTTTCGTTCCTTCGGCCTTCCCTGCGTACCCAAGCAAGAGATCCAGCTTTCTGCGTACGAGCAACTGAATAGGACGAGCGAGATTCAAAAAGTGAGCTTCCTGCTTGTGGCCAGAAGAAGCAGAGCCGAACATGCCTACCGTCAAACAATCAAACGTAGAAAGTTTTCTCTGCGTACGAACCGAACGTTTGCATAAGGGGATCGAAAGCCTGGAATTTCTCGTAAGTGTGCCCAGGAACGAAACCGAGCGAAACAAGGCTAGTGAAGGTCGAGCGGCTCTCACGTCGTTCCTGGAGCAAAATCGGATGTAAGAAAGATCTTGCAGTTCTAGTTCGTGCGTTTAGAAGAAGAGGCTGAGCAATCCAATAAGAGTCTCTTCTTGTGGAGTCGACCCAAGCAGACCTAGGCTTCCTGCGTGTATGCATCTGAGTTGAACAGAGTTGTGCATGCGACCTGGGGTGGGGTAGATCGAACCAAATAGGAGCTATTGAAATCCTATTTACTCAACAAGAATCGGGCTTCATTGTCGTTACCAGAAGTCCGAGGATATATTTCTAAATAGCCTTCGTTACTATCATTTAACACCACAATATCTGAAGTTAATTCCTTGCAGAGCTTTAATCAAATTGAGGATTCTATGATGCACCGAGGAAGAGAAGATTTCCAAAGTATAAAACCTTCCAATGGCTTAAATAATGGAAAAAATTATTTGAAGTGATCTCAATTTGTGAAGACCTACTTGAAAGGGAAAAGAAAGATACATCACCTCTTTGGAAGAGGACCAAAAGAAGAAGATCCCAATTTTTAGGCATGGGATGAGCGGAATCTATGATTATGTCATGGTTGTCGAATTTCATGGCTCCAAAAATTAGTGATACTTTTATGTTCCTATCTATTGCAGAGGACATATGGGATGCCGATAGATAAACCTTCTCAAAAGTCTGAGATGCTGCCCAAATCTTCAAAATTAAGGTCAAAGTAAGGGGCACAAAACAGTGAAGCAAGACGGTGGCAGAATATGCCACTATACTTTAAAACTTGTGACAAGAACTTGGTCACTACATATGTATAGAGACCAAGTGCCGAGAAGATGTTATCCTGAAAAATTTTATTGAGAAAGATAGTGTATGACTTTCGTCAATGACTAAATGCGGAGTTTGATCAGGTTAGAATTCAGATACTTGGCAAATAGGAGATTAGGGGTGTCAAAATGAGTCCGCGGGTCGAACCCAGATTGAGCCGGTTTTAAATAGGTTGACCCTAACCCGACTCGTTTTTGTAAACGGGTCAGAAAATCTGGCCCGGCCCCAACCCGTGTGGGTTGCCGGGTTGATCCAACCCGCGAACACGAAATGGGCGTAATCAATAACAACCGTGTATTTTTATAAGTGTTGTTTTAAGATATATAAAATAAAATTCACTATTTTAAAATATATTATTTTAAAAAATAACTTTCTGCCAAATCCTCTCACCGGAGCAGCTCCTCATGCCCCTCTGCCTGCCTCGTATTTCACTAATGCGCATTCATCTACCTTCTCTCCACCCCACCTTCCGCCAATCCCAGCCCTCCAATCCATCTCCTTCTTCATAAATATCATAGCACAAGTCAAATCCTTGATAAATCACGGAAGCTACTGAAAACTCCTTGAGAGCAGTCTTGTCTTTTCTCAGAGATAAAGAAGAAAGCCAAGAAGAAGACAGACCGAAAATATGAAAATAAACTCATCTTATTATTGATAGGTGAATTACGGAAGGTTATATAGAGATCTATGAAATAGACTGTACAAAATTTCAAGAAAGTACACTTCAGCTTTACAAGCTTCTAGAATAGGATTTATTAGTTAGATTTATTTATATCCGTTAAGATACCCCCGCAAACTGATGAGTCTGTAGAGACTATAAGTTTGTGAGCGAGAGATTTGAAACGAGATATAGATAAAGGTTTAGTAAATAAATCCGCGATTTGGTCCTTGGATGATATGTGATGTACATGTATGGAATTGTTCTTGATGTGTTCGCGAATGAAGTGACAATCCACCTCAATGTGCTTGGTTCGAGCATGATAGACTGGATTATTGGCTAGAGCGATAGCTGACGTATTATCGCAATATAGTGTTGTCAGTTGTGCCTGCGGACAATCCAGTTCTTGTAATAACCAACGTAGCCATAATATTTCTGTTGTTGCAGCTGCAATTGCCCGATATTCAGCTTCAGTAGAGGACCGAGCTGTGGTATCTTGTTTCTTTGCACACCAGGAAATCGGAGTGTTGCCTAAGAAATTGCAATATCCCGTTGTTGACTTACGATCTTGTTGGTCTCCGGCCCAATCGGAATCTGTGTAAGAATGAAGTTTTAGAGAGTCAGTTGAAATGGATATACCGTTATGAGAGGAGCCCTGAATGTAACGTAAGATTCGTTTGAGTGAATCAAAGTTGGAGTCAGTAGGTTGATGCATGTGCTGGCATGCCCGATTCACAGCATATGTGATGTCGGGTCTCGTTAGTGTTAAATATTGCAGTGCACCTACTAATTGCATGTACAGCTTCGAGTTACTGAATGGTGGAGAATCTGTGATGCATTTGTTCTGGATGGGGATCGGTGTGGCAACTGGACGACTGTTTTGCATACCAACCCGCTGTAGTAGTTGTTCGGCATAACTTGTTTGATGAAGTAGTATGCCGGTTGATGTTTGCTCGGCGGTAATGCCTAGGAATTGTTTCAAGTTACCCAGGTTGCGCATGTTGAAGTGTTGGTGTAGTTGCTATAGTAGCTCATTGATCGACGTAGTGTTGTTTCCTGTGAGGATTATATCATCTACATATATTAAGAAGTATAGGATAGTACCGTTTTTCTTGTAGATGAATAGGGATGGATCGGAGTGACTGCTAGTGAATCCGAATGTGTGAAGAAATGTTGTAATCGTTTCAAACCATTTTCTGGGTGCTTGCTTGAGGCCGTATATGGCCTTATTTAATTTGCACACGTGTGTTGGATTGTTCTCATCAATAAATCCTATGGGTTGCTTCATGTAAACAGTATCTGCAAGAGAACCATGTAAGAAAGCGTTTGAAACATCTAATTGGCTTAATTGCCAATTGTTATGTAGAGCAATAACTAGAAGGATTCTAATCGTTGGTATTTTGGCTACGGGGCTAAACGTATCCGTGTAATCAAGACCAAATTCTTGATTGCAGCCTAACGCTACAAGACGTGCTTTGTAGCGTGCAACCGACCCATCTGAATTTCTTTTTGTCTTGAACGTCCATTTGCAGCCAAGTGTATTTTGAGTGGGAGACAGTGGAACTAGTTCCCACGTTCCTTGGGCTTGTAATGCCTGAAATTCTTGAGACATTGCAAGCCGCCAGTGCTCGTGTTTAGCTGCCTGAGTGTAACTGGTTGGGTCGGTGTCAGTAATTTGATGAGATAAGTCAAGAATCTATCTTGGTTTTGAATGACCAGTTTGTAATCTTGTTTTCATCGGGTGTCTGAGAGGTATGGGTGGGGATGGAGTTGATTCTTGTTGAGTGTGAACAACAGTAGAAGTGATCTGGGTATTGGAGTTTATAGAAGATTGGCGAGTGTTGGCAGAGCAGGGTGTTTGTGACTGATCGTAGCTAGGACAAGAAGTGAAGGATGACGGAACAAGAAGCAGAGGTGGTATGTAGGAATTGGATTTGAATGACTTGGTGTTGGTAGTATTCGATGTGTGGAAAGGATAGATTCTTTCATTGAACACTACATGACGCGAGGTGTAAACACGATTTGTTTTGGTGTCCAAACAGCGGTACCCTTTCTATGATTGAGCATATCCAATGAATACACACGGTACAGAGAGCGGAGATAGTTTTGATTTGGCATACGGGCGAAGCCACGGATAGCATAAGCATCCGAAGGTTTTAAGGTGATCATAGGATGGTGATTGACGATAGAGTTGTTGATATGGTGTGGTATTATTAAGAATGGGTG